CTACAGCCATGTGATCATAATTTGGACAGTTGGCAATTGTGGTTGTTGCAGCATGTGACCTTCCCAGCTGGCTTCCAACAAGCAAAGTCCATGGTCAAAGCCGGTTTTGCTTAATGACTGTGATCCACTTAACAACCATGGCAAAAAAAGATGATCAAAAGGGTGCAACTCCCTTAAACAACTGTCTTGCTTAACAATGGAAAGTATGTCCAGTAGGTCTAAGGACGTCCTACACATAGCTGAAAGCTCTTCAGCTTTCATTTTACAAGATGGCATGGGGCAATTTTAGGATCATATTTTCCCTGGTTAAATATTGCAGGATTCTGGAATGTCTTTATAGATTAGCCACTTGTTTCCTGCATCACTTTCCGAGAAACAGAAATGGCAAATGCTGCCAGGCTTGATAATTTGCATTTTTCATGCCAGGGACATTATTCAAGGATTAAAAGTCTTCAGACCTTATTTTATAGGAACCAGATACATGAACTCTTCTATCCAGCTCATGGCCACTAAGAAATACTCAAGTGACATCCCAATTGACATTTTAATCCCTATCTGCTTTTTCAAGATGTAATTTTTAAAAAAAAATGGAGAAAGGAAGAAATAACTGTCTATCACAAATGGGAACAGGGAACTGAAAATGCAGTGTGAATTGATTCAGAATAGAAGAAACTGCTAAGTCTAAACATGTCACTTTAAAATTATAAATGGTGTCACTCTTTCCATATTTGCATTTTCTTACAATTTCACAGCACAATTCTCTGCAGATCTACCCAGATGTAAATCCCGTTGAGTGCAAGTCGTCTTTTAACCGAAGAAGAATGTATAAAATGATATAGTTCAATATGCATAATTGGATATATCAAAGCAAACACTAATAACAGTGGAAAAATAAATAAATAAGGGTAAGAACATAATTATAAAAATAAGACTCACTTTTTAGGTCTTTGATGGAAATGGCTTCCTTTGTGTCTGTAAGAATATATTATAAAAGGCAATAAGTGCACTGTTACTTATTACCAGTTAGCACTGCTAAATGCTCTCACATATACACCACAAGCCATCCATTTATTTCATCATCACAGAAAATAAAATATATATTTCTCCAGGGAGCTGCACCCTAAGCTTTCTAAACGATGGGTGTTCCAACGTTAGAATCTAATTGGAATGCCAGAATGCAATCCTGGGATATGAAATAATTTATTCATTTATTGATCCTGCCTTTATTATTTTATAAATAACTCAAGGCAACGAATATACCTAATATTCCTTCTTCCTACCAATGGTCCTCACAATAACAATCCTGCAAGGTGGGTTGCGCTGAGAGGGACTGGCCTGAGGTCACCTAGTCAGGTTTCATGCCTAGAACTCACAGTCTCCTGGTTTCTATCCTGGTGACTTAACTAACCTAACTCTCGATAAAAACTTTACTTTGAAGTATTTGCAATTTTTCCCTTCCGGGGTAATAAAAGCTAATGACAGCTCTTTCAGACAAAACACCTTCCAGCAGTTTTCAAGGCCAGCTTCCATTTAGAAGCTGGCCTTGAATTTTCCCACCAAACTGTTTTCTTTTACTTGAATGAAGCTTATCTCTTTGGGATCCCTTGCTCTGATTTCTGCTCTTTAGGACTCTTGTGCCATTTTTGTAAGACCCCTTTCTTTCGTCTGAAGTAATAGAAAGCCTAGCAGTTTCCAGAAGAAACTCATGCATTATTAGGTATATGTATATTGTCTTTTGCTCTAAAACAGGGATCCCCAATCCCCGGTCCATGGACCAGCACCGGGCCATGGCATGCCAGAAACTGGTCTGCACAAACAAACAAGGCCCCATCCACAGGATGCAGGCAGTACATGAAACCACGCCACTTCCGGTCCGCAGAAAAACCTCTCTCCACGGAACTGGTCCCTGGTGCTCAAAAGATTGGGGACCTCTGCTCTAAAAAAAAAAGTTTGTGGATTAATCTTCTGCCTCTATCCACCTGTTTTCCAGAAATCGCTTCAAATCCAGCTAATTACCACCGAGATGAAATTAATCATAAAGCTCTTTTCGGTCATGAAGGTCTATTGAAGCATTCATAAATGCTTTACGGTTGCCAGGTATGGAAATTTTAAAAATGTCCTTTTTAGTTGATATGAATCATTTATCACAATTATCTGCTATTACTAGAAGCTATAAAACCCGAACTCACTGGCAACATTATGTTCAACAGCAGATGTGATCTACAACATGCTCAATTACAAAAGTTCTGATACATTGGGATATTTCTTTATGTTTTAGATAAGAATGTTTTTTTTTACTCAAATAGTTTTCTCAGAGAGAAGATTCATCCAATTCTGTTTCAAGGGTAGCTTGTTTTTCAAACATTCTAATGTTTAAGGATTATCATATGAGAAACTGATTTGTGTGTATTTATTTTCACTTAGCAATATATAAGAAAGTTTAAAACAAGAAACAAAACTCAGGTGAAGAATTAGGAAAAATCACACTGTTTTTTCTCCTATTCCCTTTTACTATTCATTCACAGTTACTCCTTGATATTTGTTTCACTATGTGATCAGTTCCTTATTCAATATGCACAGCAATTCTTCCATCAGTTTTCTGCTAAGGCCCATAATGAAAGACACTTGGGAACCTCAAAATGTGGGTCATGACTCCATTAATATACTTCAGGCAAAATGTGGAGTGATTCTGATGCTGCTTCCACTATGCATGAACAATCTTCGCAATCACAAAGCCGGAGCATTATCAAACCACAGCGACTTTGCCCAGGGAAAATAGGGGTCCAGAGCAAGTTTTCAGATTATCCTCAGTTTGCTTATGAAATCAAGCAATCTTCTCTATTATGGATAATGATAAAGTATTATTCCCTATATTGAACATCACTGATTAACGTAATGCATAGACACAGCACAAACAATACTGAACCAGTTTTGCAAACCTCTATGGTATTCAGAGGACTGCGTGCTGGGTTTGTGAATAATTGCAGAAATGATTTTTTTAAATATGCAAGGCATATGTTTTCAAAAAGGAAGGCTATGCTTTTCTGGACTACAGATGGTCATTAAGGAAAAAACAAGGTCATTTTTATAAATCCACCAAATGGAACATTTGTGGTAATAAACAAAAGGCAGCTATCAGCAAAAAGTAAGAATAATCGGCTTTTCCCCCCACAAAATAAGGTAAATATGTCTTAGGAGTCTTAATTATGGAGTCAGTGTTGATAGAATGTGAAAATCCTGAGAAAAAATGATGACTGCAGCTGAACAAATAGTTTTCTCCATACCTATATAAGGGACCCCATCATCAATGATAGATATAATTTTGATGATCAGCTGTTTATATTATAGGGCAATCTTCCCGAACCTCCATAACTAGGAATTTGGAAACCTGTAGTCTCAACACATCTGGGCTGGAGTGTCTGGTCATCTAGGTCAGAAGTTTCCAACCTCCAGTTTGTAGATCGGCATTGGTCCCTTGCATGCCAGAAACCGGTCTGCGCAAACAAGCAAAGCCCCATCCATGGGATGCAGACAGCACATGAAACCACGCCCCCTCCTGTCCCCGCAAAAACCTCTCTCCATGGAATCAGTCTCTGGTGCCCAAAGACTTGGGGGCCTCTGATTTAGATAACGAGGTGTGCTAGAATTCAAGAATTATTACACAAGATTTTTCAATGGATGGGCAAAAGGGAAAGAAGAATTCAAAATATTTTACCCATATATGAATCTGTACTTGAGACACATCATACAATCTATATAAGTTTATTTAATTTAAGATTGATTTCATGGAAAGATAGTTTGCTCAAAACAATGTTTGCTCATAAAAAGAGTCTCACCGCATTCAGAGGACATATTTGTTAATGAGCAATTTGATTTATTTTAGTTGACAAATCACTTGATAAATATAAGCTAACCATGGTATTTCCAGTTCTCTATTCAACTTCTAAAGACCAAGGTTTCCAGTTACATAGATGTAGAAAACTAACATAAGCACATAGACTTTGGGGCTTCCAAGAAACTAAATAAGCAGAAGGTTTCTAGATACAGTATGTCAGCCATATGTGTGAAATCATTTTCTGCATTTTTGATACATTAATGGGGGCTTTTAAACCAATACATCATGCATGGATGATACTTAATGTTCCATTTGCTGCCCCTAGCAAAATGTTCCAATGTGTTAAAATAAAAGCTGCAGCAGGTGGCATAAGCTCTCTAAAAACAGCTTTTCATTGGAGTATTTTGAGCAATGAAAGACAATTCTTAATACATCCTGGTCTCAGAAAGTATGGGCATCAGATGTCAAGTACTAGGTAACTGCGTTATTCCTACTCAAGGAATTAATAGCCTGGTAATTATCTAACCAAAGCCAGGAATGAATTAAAATTAAATCCATTCTATCATATTTTCAAAGCACCTCTGATTGCCACAAATCAAAATTCACACACCCAGAGTCTTTGGGATCCCGTGAAACAGCCATTTCCAAATGGAACCAACCAGCTGTGTTGAATTATAATGATCATTAGGACAATTTTTATTAGTAGATACAGGAATCAAAGGAAAACTAAGATACAATAGGATTTTGAATGTGTATCTGTTTAGATTGATATTAACAATTAAAACTAGACATTTGAAGTGACATTCAATCAGTCATTGTTTATTAAAGGCTTCTAAAAATGAAAGGTTCTATAGTTCCCCAACCAAGCACATCAAACCATACTCTCCAGGTATGATGGAAATGGTAGTCAAAATGTACTACACCAGCTACAGAGAAACAGTTTACAATATTAGCTTTCCTCACTCACTACTATAGCATCAGAATGTAAAATAGAGCTTATTGCAAGACCTTGAAAAAATAAGGAAGAAAGGAAGAAAGAAGGTACAAGGACAAATCATGCAGTAGAAAGATCGGTTGGAAGTGGGAGAAATTTCTAATGTGATTTACCAGATTCCCTGCATGGATTACCCTTGTCACTATGTAAAACAGATAGGGAAGAAGCTAACCACCAGATGACTTGAACACCAGCAAATGGTTAGAATAGGAAACCAGAACTCATTGGTAGCCTTGCACTGCAATGAACAAGGACATGCATTCAATTTTTCAGCTACTAAGATTGTTGGCTGAACAGAGACAAAAACAGCCAGAGAAACGATTGAAGCCTAGGAAACCGTACCCTTGTCAGTCAACAGCTTACCAGGTACTTAGGAGCCAAGGGCACGACAGCACAAGGAATCAACAATCAATGTCTTACTAGCAGGCCATCAACATCCCAATGTACAATTCAACGCTACACACAAACAGACACCACATACTAGAACAGCCCAGTGTACACATCCTGGAGATTGAGAAGTTGCCTCAGGGTGGACTACACCATGAGTTCAAAAGCTTGGAAGAACAAACCTCTGGTCCTGTTGACCGACTCAGTTTGGATCCTGCTGTAAGGCTACACTTACTATATCTGACTCATTCCGAGACACATCTGTTAGAGAATTTGTAATATTGGTGCTAGCGTCTCTTAATAAGTTTACCCCTTACATCAATTTCTTTTAAAAACATAGTTTATTTAACTCTTGCACTTACACTTTCACTTAGTTGGTCACACATACCCATGCACACACACTAAGAGGGAGATTGCCATTACTTCTGGTTATATTAATTAGGCTCTGCAAAATCTTCAAAAGTGATGCTTTCTAATATTCATTGATGTATACAAAGCACCTTTCTTTGTATCGTTAAACACCAGCATCTGTTTTCAGGCTTCATAATTTATTCTTGGATGACTCAGTACATGTGTGCATTAACAATAATTTTGCTTCATTTTTCCCTTGCATAAGAAGTAGCACACAAGCTTGGAAAAACCTGTTCTCCATCCCCCATACGTGTGGTTCTCTTCTGTGTGAGGGCTGAAGTTTTAGAAGAGACAAGTTTTTGTCTTTGCTCCTCTCACATATCCATTGAATAATATTAATTTTAC